GATATCTGAGTGTGGTTTTGATTTGTATTTCCTTGATGAGGAACTATGTTGAGCATCTTTTCATGTGCCTGTTGGCCATCTGGTTGTCTGCTTTAGAGAAGTGTCTATTCATGTTTTCTGCCCATTTTCTTCACTGGATTATTTGTTTTTTGGATGTGGAGTTTGGTGAGCTCTTTATAGATTTTGGATACCAGCCCTTTGTCCGATATGTCATTTGCAAATATCTTTTCCCATTCCGTTGGTTGCCTTTTAGTTTTGTTGATTGTTTCCTTTGCTGTGCAGAAGCTTTTTATCTTGATGGTAGTGAAATTTAGAAAGCACTTGGGAAATATAAGAGCCATAATAATATTCATATCTATGAGTCTGTACTTCAGATAATTTACCTGAAGGGAGAAACATCAAAAATGAGGGGAAAACTACATCAATGAAAATGTTGGTGGTTAGTGGTAGTATCGAAAAATGGGAGTAGGAGGTGGGGAAGAGAAAAGTAACATGTCTAAGAGCAGGGAAATGATCCATTAAATTATGGTGACTTACACAATTATTTTCATAATAGTTGTGAAGATCTTCTGACAGTATATAAAATGCTCATGAGATAAAATTAAGAAAAACATGGGTGCCTGAGTGGTTCAGTCTGTTAAGCATCTGACTTCAGCTCAGGTCATGATCTCACAGTTCGTGAGTAAGCCCCGCATCGGGTGAGCTCGAGCCTTGCTTCGGGTGAGCCCCACTTCTCTCTGTCTCTCTCTGCCTCTCGTGGGATTCTCTCTCTCTCTCTCTCTCCCTCTCTCTCTCTCTCTCTCTCTCTGCCCCTAGCTCACTTGAACCCTCTCTCAAGAAAGAAAGAGAGAAAGAAAGAAAGAAACCAGAACACAGAATTTTACTTCTATTGTCATAAAGGCAAGAAATGGTATGGCACCTTAGCACTGAAAATGATTTGATTTGTTGAGGTATTAAAAAGATGAATGAATTTTCGTATTTATTAATTTTCATTTCTGTTGATATTTTATGTCTCCCTCAACAAATAAATCTTAAACTTAACCTAAAATGATGACTGTCATCCAAATTCTGTTTATGTATGTGGACAGCAGATTGATTGAAATGGCGTGATCCGCTAAATCATCCAGTTTCTTCGCTAACTTGTAAAGGCTTTAATAAGTTATGTGTAATCGAAGTGATTTTTCTATTGAAGAAAATAGACATGTTTTATGATGTCCAAAAACTTATCAAAATGTTTCAGCTCATT